AGAACGCTGAAGTAATATTTAACGTGTTTTTACAATATTTATTTAAAAAATAAAGTATTTACATTAGTTTTTATAGTAAAATTAATGAAAATAAAAAAGGGCCACCATATGATCAAAATAAAAATAGAATCTATAAAAAATATACTTTTAAGATTTCCAATAATCCTTTTAATAAAGTTTCTTGCAGATGTGTGCCCTTTATTATATCGATGTTGACAAGATCCATGCTCCACTTGCTTATAGGGCGCCATCAAAAATGTTTCTAAAGCGTAACCACTGTCTCCCAGAAGCCAACTATTTTGCATACCATTTCCTCTTTTGTTAATGCTGCCTAGCTGCACTCATATGCCAAATAAAAGCATCATGGCTGTATCCTGGTCTGCAGCTGTCCACAGCTTGCGCACACTTTGTCTTCAAGGACTTTCGTTAATCTCCACAATATTTTATACATTGTTGTGCGATCAACACTTATATTTAAATCATTTGCCACTACCCTCTGAAACCCACCAACAGCCAGAAATCTTTGCTGCTAACTGCAGTTTTTCGGGAATGGTACCCTTGTGTATGAAAGGACCAACTTCTCTCAAAATATCCATAAATGCTTATTTTAACACGTTCCAGTATCATTAGACTTTTTCTGGTAGAAACCAGGGCAATTAATAAGCCAGAAGGCATATTTTTTTTTAATTTTGTTGTTAAAAAAATTGCAAATTCCAATGAAACATATGTTTTTTTTATTGAACACATTTCGTAACATATTGAACACAGCTATGCTTTCGAGCCGCACTTTCGCTCGAAATTGAGCACACCATTTTGCACAACATGGGAATTTAAAAAAGCAATGGGAATTCAAAAACTCTCGGAACATGTCACATGGGCGATATTTGATCCCATTATAACGGTAACGCTCCACTGTCGGTATTTTGAACGTTTTAGAAGAATTTTCCAGCCGAAATGACTGTTATTTGTCATACCAAGTTTTTTCCTGTGCGACCTGGCCCAATCTAAAGACGAAATTAATTGTTATAATTCGAAATACAAATGTTTCGAAATGAAATTTGTATGGGCATTTCCGGAAAAAGGTAAACCAAAGTCGAAGAATTTGTTTATTTAATTGTGCTTAAATACGTGAAAAAAAAACTTCAAAAAAACACAAATAAAGACCACATTTGTCATTTTTTCTTCTTGTTCTTGGCATAAATACTAATTTAAAAACTGTACATGCAGAAAGAAAAGTGCAATAATAATGCTTGATATTTGTTATTCATGTAAAGAATATAAAAAGTTCAAAATATTCACACAATTCGCAGAGTTTTCCCATTATTAGCAGTGGTGTCGAAACTCATGTATATTTGAAGTCGAGTGAGTGATCGCTCTTTTGTGGCTTTTTTCTCGAAAGTTAAAAGCCGGAGGCCCTCTAATTTTTTACCACTGATAGTACTCCTAATGTTATACAAAAAAGTATTAAGAGAGAATTGTAAAAAAGTAATTCTTTTTGATTTATTTAAAATTCAAAGTTTGATTTTGCCTCTGAAATTCGTGTAAGTGACTGCGGAAGTGCCCATATTTCAATCGATTTTCTTCTGAAGAAAACTTCATACAAACATTGTTTAATGCATGGACATTAGTATTATTTTTTACAACCTCATATCCCAAAATGATATTTTTGATAAGTTTTACCTGATATTAGACAAGATCTTTAATCTTAAGGTGATCCTATAGAAAAACCTCACGTCAAATCATTTGAAAATATTTATTTATGAGCATTTTCATCCATTCTTACTGCCGGAATATATCCCACCTCCACGATACATTGCCTGCCATTAAAACTTAATAATGATCGATTTGCTACATTTCATATTTATTTAATTAATTTATTTATTTAATTTATTTAAATGATTATACACTTTTTTACCTTACTTCTCCACCTTCACTGGTCTGACTGACTATATCTGATTTTTTTTCATATATATTTTGTATATACTTTATTTTTTGGTTTTTAATTTTTAGTTTGCTTTTTTCTAATACTACATGATTTCTTCTTGTTCTTCTTTTTGTTGTTTTCAATATTGTTGCTTGGGTTTTTTTGTTGCTGATGTTGTTTGTTTTCCACCATTGGTTTCGGGAAAATTGGATTTCAAATGACCATCTCTGGGTTGATTTCGACTTGCAAATCTTGCTGACTGACTGCTTCAATAAATTATTGTATATAGTTTTTTTGTTTATAATAAATATAAATAGTATTGGTATTTCAGTGTTGTTTTTTGTTTTCATAATATATTTTATTTTCAATATTTTTTTCTTTTTTAGGATTTATTTTTTTATTGGTAATAATACTATTTTCTTGTCGTTCCTTCTCTTAAGAATGGTTTTCATAGGGGATTTTCTTTTTTTATAGTGTGAATTGTGTTGCCAATTTGCCAAACCAAAAAAAAAAAACAATTATTGATTTTTTATATGTATTTATATATGTTGTATGTATAAGTTAATATGTATATATAGATCTGTAGCTGACTGCTGACTGAAACAAATTCTATAACAAGCAAACACACGTACACACACAAAAGACTTCTAGAAAAGAATCCTTGAGAGAGCGAAACATGAAAATAAAATTTAAAAAAACGCTTAAAATCCAAATTATTTCACACTTGTATTTTATAAATAAATAATATCAAAACATGTAAATACACTGAGAGAAAAAAATTAATAAATTGTATACTAACAAAAAAATAACTATGTACAATTAAAAAGAGAAAAACAAAAATATATATAAATACTTATGTATAGGGTATATAGATAATATGTATATAACAAATTTCGAAAATACAATTATAATAAATACATATATATATATAAAAAAATAAAATTAAATAAAAAACACAATTAAAAAACAGTTGTTTGTAAATAGTAGCAGTAAATACAATCCTACATGTTTCATAGACAAGCAATTATGATCTTTATTGTATATATTTTTAATTGGGAATATATTCTACATCAAAATGTTATCATAAAACCCAAACAATTTCAATATATTGAATGTTTCTCCTAACGAAATGTTATATTTTTATTTCAGAATGGGTATTTTATAGAGAGTATTGCACATAAATTGTTTATACATTTCATGGACATTTCATAACCTATGGACTACATATTTTAACATAAAATGTTTGAGTAATGCCCAAAACAAATATTTTTTAAAGCTCCCATTTTGACTCAAGTATTCATTTTCTATTGAAAATTATACAGAGTCAATGATTCTCAAAGAAAATCTGAAAATCTTTTATTTGGGTGCACAGTTTTACTTGGCCTACTATCAAGCTTTGAGTTGAGACATTCACATGCATTGATAGTAAGTTCCAAAATATTTTTTTTCTTTTTTTGCAAATTAAATTAATTAAAAAGAGAGTAAATTTTAGAAGACACTTATCCTTGGATTATTATCAAGCTTTCAGTTGAGGCATTCATTTGCACTGATAGCAAATTACATTTAAATTTTGCTTTGTGAATGATGATTCCATTGAATATAATATGGAAATTTCTGAAATGAGCGGACAAATTCATACATTTGTATATTCTTTCTATGAAGCCATTATTTTGAAGCTATTTAAGCTATGTATTTTCAAGGTTACAAGAAATATTTGTCATTAATGATAATTACTATTAAGAATAGTGAATAGAAATATCACCACACAAAGGCATTCTTTTGGAGATAATTATTACATATTTTATAGCCTATGTACAAAAACTATAAAATTATTATACGGATTTTGTAAAGTAAAGTAGAGCAAATTACATTTCATCCTACAATTGGTATTGATTTGTCTATTATCCATGCGTATTCCATTGTTTATTCTTTTAAATACTGCTAATATTATACACACAACTGTTTCTACACTATATTACTAAATAATATCAATAATAAATTACTAATAAAATCTGCTGCACATTTTCATTTCTACTACCTCTGATACCTCTTAATGTCTTTAGTTTCTTTTGTTTTTCATCATTTCTTCTTTTTAAATATAACCAACAATAAAGCATTTTTTGTTTTAAATATGTGTTTTTCGTATAGTATAAGTAATAATAATTGTAGTTGGTAATAATAAATTTCGACAAAAATTTGCTTATATTTTAAAATAATAATCGTATTTGTTTCTTGCGTTTAAATTTGCATTATTTGTGTTTTCTTGTAGATGCCGAGTAAAGAATAAATAAATTATTTAATTACATTAACATTAATTTAAACATAGAATGTTCTAAGGGGGCATACGGCGATAGGGGAAGAAACATATTACACATAAAGTTTTGTTGTTTTATCTTTGATTTTGGTATTTGCATTTCTTTGCTGTATGCTTTTTCTTTGTTTTTTGATAGTTGAAATAATTGTTCTTGATCATGAGGCTTTTGTTTTATAATTATTTTTATCTTTGAGTAGCTTTCATTTGTGGTTATGAGGATTTTTCTTCTTTTTTTGGAAACATTTATAGAGATTTTTATAAATTATTATTATTTTTTTACTTTAATATACTTTTCCAAAAATTCGAACCTTTGCTGCCGACTCTTCTTACGTGTCTTTGTAAAATACATTTCTTTTGTTTGCACTTAAATTTAAATTTAGTGTTTTGTTTCTTGGGAGGGGTTTGTTTAAATATAATTTGAATAATTTTTGTTTCTTATTTTGTTTTTCTTTATATAGTAATTATAATTATTCTTTGGGTGTTCTTATTTTTATAAATGTAAACAATCAATGCCTGCATTTCATTTATTTGTTTATATGTTGTTATTTGTTTCAAATCTTATTATCATCATCGATGGAATCCGTTTACTTTCTGCATTTTTTGTTTTGGGACAGTTATAGAAGATATACTATCTCTTGTTTTGCTTTTGAACAAAGTCCTTTTTGCGTCTGATCACTCCTTGACAAACCATATCCATGTGGTGTGTATTATAACTGCTATCCTTATAGGTTTCAAGTTTGAAATGTTGTTGTGTAGTTTGTGAGGATAGAATTGTTCTTTAATATACTAAAACGGATTCCATCGTAATCGTATCTCATTTATTATTACTGCCGGTATTTGTGGCAATTGTAGCCTGGATTTGTGATGCTGTTTGTGAGGCGGTCTCCTGTGTGCGTCGAGCCAAGCGAGATCTGAAATTGTAATGCAAATAAAGTTTTGGTTTTTAATAAAGAGTATTTCTTATATTTATCTTGTGTTAATAAATTACCTTATTTGTCCAGCCAACAATGGATTAATGGCATATAACCAATCATGGACTTCTTTGTCGCCCAGAGTTTGTAATAGATAACCACGGTGTTTGGTTACAACGCTATATTAATGAATTAAATAAATATCAATCACCGATAAAACTTGATTGTAAAAGGTCTTTTCTACCTGAATGTATTTGGTATTTTAACCATGGCTGCTTGATCTTCGCTGCACTCAACTTGAGCTGTGCCCAAATTCAAAATTGCACGTTCCACTGGATCTTTTTCCGATTTGTAAATGAAAACGTAAGGACGGCGGACAATCTACAAGCCAAAATGTTATCATAGAAATAAATAAATAAAAATACCTCTTAGCACAAAATGAATACATACCACCCAGCGTTTCTTCCAACCAGAACCGCCATGCTCCAAAACATTCAACAAACCCTTGCGGGCCACCACAGGACTGACACGAATTTCTTCCAATTCGGGTACATACAAGCGTAGAGGGAGGGCTGGTTGTGTAGCCGGTGCTGGAGCTTCCCAGCCATTGGGTGCATCCGAACGATCGGGAGAGCATAATCTAAGAAACAAAGGAAAACCATAGTCGAAAGGTTAGTATAAAGATGTCCACTAAACCGATATTTGTGCGAAACAAGAAACATTTAGAATATTAGTTTCGGTTATATATGTATTTGTTTTGCAAAGTGTTTAAGCAATAACTTGTTATGAAGTATTAGTTAAATTTAGTGTTTAATTTTAGAAGAATAAAATTAAAATAAATGACTACATAATGAAATTTATAACGTAAGCTGTCACATTTAAATAGTAAAATTGGTGTAAAAAACGTAACAAAATTTAACAGTAAAACGAAAACAAATAAATTGAAAATTTTACCTTCGTCTAATACAGTAGTAACCAAAGAAGAGTTTTTTAATACACACAAATATGAAAAAAGAAAAGGTTTATAAAGTTAAATAAATTAAGATAAATCAATAAATAGTTTTAAGTTTTTTTATTGTTTCTGCAAAAATTTGGTTATTATTTAAGATTTGTTCTAGGATGTACTCAGAGTAATCAATAGGCCATCGTGCAAGCAATTGTGTTCATATCAAAATGAATTCCAGGGAAAAATGTGCGTTTTGCAAACAAATGCAGTCACATAATCTTTTTATGAGTATTCTTTGCAGTTCTTATGTTCATAGTCTGATCTTTAAGGCTATTATTAATCGATCAAGTGCAAATCAAATCGCGGTAATATTATAATTATATTTCAATCTTATTAATATATGCAATAGAAACAATCCAGTCTACCATCGGACGATTTGATTGTCGTGAAAACGAAATGAGCAACGAAAATGTCTGTTGCTGGCCCTGACTGTCGCGAACTGATTACATGTTGTTTGTATGAAAATTTGCCGAATTTGTATACTTGGCTTACTCCTTATCTCCTAACAATTAGACAACACTGGATGTTTTCCGATTTGTAACACTATAAATACAAGTTATCGCATTTGACATTATCTTATTAATCTTTATGCTACATTTCTTTTGAAAAGTATTTTCCTTAAGTGTGTTGTCATTTATGAAGGCATGAATATCGGCCTTTGAAACCTTCCAATCAATTCTGGCGTACTTCTTAAAAGCCAGCACTCATACATACTCTATTGAACTGCTGGATATGCAGCTGACGGTCATATCAGCACATCCTTCATCACTGGGTGATACATCCGATTGTGATTGGTTATCATTGTTATCTGATTTGTTACTGCGTCCTAAATATCCAAACAAAAATACACATTTAAATATACATTCATGTCCGTGAAACTCATTATTCAATTTACCTTGTATTAGTTTCAAACACTTGTTCATCAGTTCAATTTCACGTTCATTGTACTCACGCTCAGGTAATATTTGTTGTGAGTCCTTTACCGGTGTCTGTGGTGATGGTGGTATGACCATATGTACAGGCGATGTTGCTGCTTTAGCAGCCAAATTGCAAACATCCTTTTCGGTTTTTGTTGTCGGATTCGGATTTGTATCCATACCCAAACGTTCACGCAATAACAACAAATGACGAACACGTCCAACCTCTTCGAGGCGTGTTAATTTCTCCAGTTCCCATTGATGATCAAAGATAAGGGAATCACCACGTGGACGCCACCCATGTAAATTTTCTTCACCGCGGACATAGGTTGAGCTAGTATCAAGGACGCGACGTTGTCGGCGTTGGACACCTTTGCAAAGAAAACAGGGACGAGAAAATTGTGTTAAAAATTTTGCGTTTAACAAAACAGAATAAAAAGTAAACGTGTTAAACAAAACTAAGCACTGGAATTAATGTAGAATATGCCGTTAAAACATTAAACATTTCATTAAATGTATAACATGTAGATTTATTGGAAAGGCCTTTGGGTATAAAGCAGAACAAAGATCGAGAGAGACAGACAGGCAGGTTTTAATAAGAAGGTTTTTATAACTGCATACTTCCTGAGATAAAATTGCTTTCAGAACAGATGTTAAACTGATTACAGCCAAAGAGTGATAGCCTGCCTGACCATCATATTTTTCATCTCTTATGAACGATAATTCAGTTAAGCATCCAATCTCAAATTGCATTTATTATATAAAAAGTTGAGATTATATACGGTGCCGTTACATATTGGTTCTAAATCTTGCATAAAAATTTTTGTATGACACTTTATGTTAAATCCATAAAATCAAGAAACAGCTTCTAAATTTGTAATCAAACGGCATATAAAACATAATTTACGGAGCAACAAAAACACACAACAACAGCAACGACTACATTTAGAACTTCTACCTGGACTACCTGCATCAGATGCTCTTCTTAATGATAATTCATAAACGCCCGATAAACGATTTGCCTCCGGATTACGATATTGACCAGAGAATAGATGTTTCAAAGAACGTGGACCGGTACGAGCATCACGACCATAAATGATCATGCTTAAATCTTTTGTAATAATAGCTGGGCGAGCACAATTTTCCAACTGAAACGAAAGTTAGCAAAAACATTATAACGAATATTACTCTGTCAACACCAAGAGTTATTAACTCCCAACTTACCTCCAAGTAAGCGCTCAGTGTTATATAGACCGTTTCACCACCCTGTGATACTCGATTCAACAATGCCGAATTATGAAGACTAGAATCCCAAGCAGCTTCAAATCTAAAGAATGAACGATCATCGCCGGGTACCTCAATAGCTTCGCCAGGGAATAAGCCCAAAGATAAAACACACGAATCTTCATCATCTTCCGAGGATTCGGGAGTGTTGCGTATACGTCCCACAACTAATTCACGAATATCCTTCCATTTCACTTCAGGTGTTGGTTCATGGACAATGGTAATGCGAATGCGTCGCTGAATGCCTTGATGCAATAGGAATAAGCCTCGGCAAGGAAGATCATCGCTATGTTCAACAACCTAAAAAAATAGGATGCACGGAGTGAGCAATCGAAAAATCTGAAAATGTTGAAATATGTTTCATCTAACTTACCGCCGGTACATATTCACCGTTGGGAGCCAATTCGCATATTTCAAACCACACCAAAACATCATGTTTTGCCAAGACTGTCGACGATGGAGGACATGGTAGCGGTCCAAATTTGGGACTGCGTACTGGCTGTGAAATAGGTATGCTTGGTGGTAACATGCGTCTTGGTGGTGGTCGTGATACGAATTCCTGTTTAGCATCCTTGTGCAAGGGATGTGTCTGGTAGTGGCCAAAGACTTTAAACATGATCGGTTGTGTTTTCAAATATTCAATAAACGACTTGGTAACTGGAACAGTAATCTGCAAAAGGAATACAAATGTAAAATGGGTTTGAAATCTAACAAAGATTAACACTTACATTCTGCACATGATAGAAACCCAAACGATCGCCGGCAGAGTTCTTAACGGGTTCTGTGGAGAATGCCTCCTCGTGACGATGTAAGAAGCTGTAATAACAAAATTAATTGTTGATTTTAATTTTAGGAAATTATAAAATATTCGTATAGCAATAACTTACTTGAATTGACAGAAGATATCTGCATACTCAGCACCAATACCAGTTGCCTGCAATACTGTAACACGGAATGTAAATTCTTTGCCAATTTGTAAATGTTCACCAGGTTCATCCTGAGCCTCCTGACATTCTGATGCCGAATTTGAATCAATGCCACGTCCCGAATCAACATCTCCAAGCTCTGAAATAGTTAACAAATTTGTTTAGTTTAAAAGTTTCATTAGTTAGTATTGCTTGGGTAACAAACCTTCAAGTTTGCTATCCAAAGCACTGCCATTCTCTATATAACGTTGAACATCATCCTTGTCGTTCAAAGCACGATAACGTGGTTTAGCATCGTCTTCATTGAATATCAAGCGAGCTGATTGTTTAACACCATTATTGAAATCCAGAGATTCTTCATCCTATTGCCAAAAATTAAATGAAAATATAATTTGAAAACAAATGTGTATAGAGAAAATATTTCCTTGAACTTACCAAAACCGGCTGTACTGCAATACGTAAATAGCCCCGGACATCACCCCGCTCATTAACAATGGCCACCTTGTGCACCAATGGTACGGGATACAAGAGATTACTCAAATAAACAAATGATCGACCAACCATACGGAACCATGGGAAACGATCATAGAATGGATCACCACCAGTAAGAGATTCTACATTGTAATCGGGCGATGATGGACTGAGTTCGGCTTCATTGTGATACATTTCACGCATCAACTCCAAACGTTGCCTGGAAAAAAATGCAAACACAATTATAAATTAAATATTTTTCGAGTTCAAAACATTTACAATATGGTATATTTTTTGATAGATACTTCAAGAAGCTACGAAAATAAAGCAAATGTGTACAATAAAAATAGGCAACATAAATTTTAATAAACCAGCCAAATGATAATTATAACTTTGAATATATATATATATATATTCTGTAAGTAGCTGCACAATATAATTATTTAAATATATATTGGTAGACTGATCGCGTAAACTTTTATGTCGACTTAGAAATATCCCTCAATATGTTAGTGATAGTAACAATCTGAAAAATTTAAATAAACACTTATGTTGCAAAGACCCCCTACCGTAACCGTAAAGCTCTATAATTTGGAATCACATGCTAAATTACTTGATTCGTTTATTAAGCTGTTAATTTTATCAATAAATAGAATCATCGATCAGTAAAAATTGTTTTCAAATATGTTAGGGTCTTGACATTTTGAATGAAGTTATTTTTGATGAAAAGATCTTGGAGGATTATATAGACGAATTTGATTTGATTTGGTTGAAGAAAATAATTTTATAAAGAATGAAGAGACGTTTTACAAACGACAGTAACCCTGCATAGACTAAAGTACATAAACAGTGATGCTGTGAAGCTTCTTCCAACCATCTACGGTGGAAAAAACAACTTGCAGTCCTTTGAGGCGGCAATTAGAGGGTTAAATATTGAATACATATTTCAAAAAATATCCAAGGCTATTAAAATCGGTATTTACCAACCACAAAATTATAAATATCTTTGATATAAATTGAATTAATCGCAGTACGTTTACAACCCTCGTATACATTGATAAAAAAAGGAAATTAGGAAAAAGCTATTTAAATCGGGAGATTTTTTATAGATAGAAGAGACATAGCATCTTTGGAAGACCATTGAAATGGAATCAGGCGAAAAAATATTGTGATCTACATAGATATTTGAACCAATAAAAAACCATTCTGAAATGTATTAAAAATTGCAAGCCAATCGGGCAAACATTTTGGTGTAAGATTTTTATGAAATCCAGCAAAATTTGTATGTGAGCTGTATGTAAATCTGACATCAACAAAACTTCACAGACATCAACCTGAACGGAATTCAGTACGCTGCGCAAAATGTTGTCTCAATAGGACAAACCTTGGCAGTTTGGTGCACCATTTACATAAAATCGGATGAAAATATATATGGGAGCTATATCTAAATCTGAACCGATTTTCACGAAACTTAACACACATCATTCTAGACTTAATTCAGTACTCTATGCCAAATTTCGTGCAAATCGAATGATATATAGGGACTTTGGTACACCATTTACATTAAATCGAACAAAAATATATATGGGACCTACATCTACATCTGAACCGATTTTCCCCATTTTCAATAGGGTTCGTCTTTGGGTCAAATGAATGAGCTGTGCCTAATTTAGAATTTAACATGGCCAAACGGACGGACATACATAAATCGAATCAGAAAGTGATTCTATGCATATTCTCAAAATACCCTGTACCACATAGTGTGGTGTAGGGTACAAAAATAATATCCAAATGGTCCTTGAGCAAGACGCGGCAAAATTTTTAAGCATTCATGACTGCGATATCAAACCTCCAAGTGGGATATAAGCCTCAACAAAATCAAGTCGAACCTACGATTCGGTTGATATGAGACAGGTAATATATAATGGTATTTAATATTATATAGAAATATAATATATTTATACAAAAATAATATATAAGTATTTCATGCAGTATTTATATAAATTTGCAAATAATATTTCCTCAAAGGCACAACAGTAATAAAAAATAAGTTAAAAATATACAAATACAAAAAGTGAACATGCAATAGATATTTCACAGTCAATTCCCAAAAAAATGAAAAGAGAAATGGAAATTAAATATTCTTGTTTTTGTTAGGTTATTTATATTTATAACTGTATTAATTCAATGGTATTAATTTCGTACAAGGACATCAACATAATTTATAACTCCTCAATAGATATATTTAGTATGCGAAACATTTTTATTAACGGACAATCATTTTAAACATATTTATTATGTAAGGGTTAATGAATTTTTCCCACTAAGCACCATAGGACCACTGACGTATTTTTATTATGTACGTGTAATTGTTAAGGGAATGGAATCGGACAAAGCAATTTGAAATTAAATAAAAATCAATATCCATTAAAAAAGAACATTTAAATATAAAGATATTCACACTAGAAAAATATATGAAATAACGGTATTTGCAAAATAAAACCAAAACAAGTAAATAAAATTAAAACTTAAAAAACAAAGACACAGATATGTTTTGGAATAGAGTAGAAAAGAAAAGGAACCTCGAAAAAATTAAAGCCAACCTAGAGGGCATAAGATTAGCCAATGATAGACGGGATGGTGAATTGTTGTTTGATTTCAATTGAGTCGATTTTGAAGGTGATGGCTGTGGCTGTTGTTGATGTAAATTGGATATCTGTTGTTGTTGCTGCTGTTGCTGACGCTGTAGCTGATGCTGTTTCACAACATTTCCCAAATAACCATTCAGAGCAAATTCTTGCAGACGATTACAACACTCAGTGGTTGCCTCACTTAACATCGACGATGGCGTTGACATTGTCGGCGATGATGATTCAATTGGATGAGGAACATTGATGTCGGCAATGTTGTTGGGAGTACAAGCGGAATTTGGTATGGATGAACCATCAGTTAAGGCTGAGGTATCATAGAGCATTGATGATGGTGGTGATTCCACATTGTAAATTTGTCGCATCATTTCCAAGCGATAACTGTTTTATGTCATTGTTTTTTGTCATTTTTAATGTTAAATAGCAATCATTGTATGTATTTTTGTTTTGTTCAATAAATGTTGTTATGAGTATTTGGTATTTTTGTGTATTAAAGAAATGAGAAAAATAAATAAAGAACATATTTTTCAGAGAATGAAGGCTAAAGTAAAACACAAGATCTAGAGATACAAAGGATATTACGAATTGTATTTTCTACATTACGAAGAACTTAAAAAATGAAATAAAAAACTAAAATAGTGAAATGAGTCGTGTTATGGTGGTTATAGTGTGAAGTTTAATAGATTTTTGAAAGTAAAATAGTTTTAGTCGAATTATAAATGTATAAACAATTTTAGGCCAATTTACCTTTATCAAGTTTGATATGCAATATTTTATATATATATACAGCAACAATCAAATCCAAAAGAAAAAGTTATACAAATTTACAATCTACCTCACTTTACCGAAAAAAGTTTGAAACCCATTTAGATTTAAAATATTATTGTTGGTTTAGTTTGTCGAGTTTACGAAGAATTTCGTCTATTTTACATTTTAAAACAAAACTTAATGAAATCGACATTACAAAAATATATGTTTTATATATAAGAATGAAGGTTAGTTTTGTTTATTAAAAAGATGTAGTGATTATAGTACTTTCAAGTACTTTCAAGATAAGCCCCAAAATCTCTGCTACGCAATTCATAAAAATCATTTGAATATGTATGAATGCTTCGGAGGTGATTTTTTCCATTTTGCCGTCGTTGAAACATGTATTTTGTTTCGACAAAAAATGTATTTATCAATCATTTTACTAACGTTATGACAAGCTACATAGATTTTTGACCGATCAATTCCTCCACTATATATACTCATATAACATGTTCTACCCAATACAACAGCATTTCTTCAGATTCAAATATATAAAGAACAACATTTTAATACTTCAACTCAAGAAAACAACCACCATGCACGTTCAAAATCATTGTTATTTTTAACTATAAAATAAACTGATTTAACAATTATTTTAACTGAAGAAGCCTTTGAGGTTATGATAGGGAAAAATAACTAATTTGAATAACAAACAAAAATTAATTAAACCTAAATCAATGTAAACCAAAAAAAAAAAATATCTAAATACAAATAATGTTTGCTTATTAAAACAAAACAATGGTTGTGAGAAGAAAATTATAACTCCAACGAATATAAAATCAAAAGAAAAATCTCCCACAGAAAACTAGAACACATATCTGGGGAGTGCGAATAAAAGCAGACAAACAACTTACCGCAACTTTTCCAAAGACCAATAATGGGTGGCACCATTCTTTGTATCGGTAACTTCAACGGCAACCAATGTTTTTGATACTGGTGGTGTGCCGAATTCATCTTCAGTCTGAAGTGGAGAGGCAGACGAGGCCAACTCGGGTGGCAAAGGTGAGTACAAAGTGTCAGTGAGAAGAGTGAATTGGAACTGCACCTTCTTTTTCAATTCGACAGAAATGGCATTGGCCTCCTTGAGGAATATGGCATTTCCCCATAAATCATCTCGTAGTGAGGTAAACTGATGATAACGCCACTTGCGGAATGCCCAGGCAGCCAAGCCGGCCTCACGTGCATTCCAACATGATTCATAAGCTGGGTTCGCTATAAATTAAATTGCAAAATATTATCAATTGAGGTGTGTCAAAACTAGTTTTGAACAACAATACTTACAATAAACCTCTTCATCTTGCAAATCTTCAGGGGTGTAGCTGCTGTACATGGACATGGTCATTGACTGTTCCTCCACTTGCTTTTGTAAAGCATCAATGCGAGCCTCATATGACTGCAAATACAAACACATACACACATTGTTTTTCAAATAAATATTTCTTGTTTAAGACTAAAATCAAATACTGTACTTACCTTACGTTGCTCCTCGAATTCTTGATCGGCCTGCAATTTTTCTCGCTTATATTGTTCTTCCAAAACATCTAAACGTTTCTTCATTTCAGCCTTCAAATCAATACCCTGTTTCTCCAATAATTCACATTGAGCGAAATTCCAATCGACCTCCTGCGTATCACATTTCTCATTTTCGTTTTCATTTTCATTCTCAGCATTTTCGACAATTTTTTCACGTATTTCACGAGCCTGCTCGGGATTTGTAAAACGAAACACATGATTTTTGCCCAAAATAACACGGGATCCAGTTCGTAAGACTTGTGGTTCGACCATTTGACGACCATTCAAATAGACCAAGGCGTCTTTATGCGGTATCAAAGTGACAACATTGTTGCGATTTTCGAATGTACAGTGCTCCTTGAGGATGTGTGAACCACATAGCTGTATGTCTTGTGGAACATTTGCCTCATGGGTACCCAAACGGGTAATGCCATCCTTGATGTAATACAACAGACATTCCGATAAATTCGGATCTTCATTCAAATTCACCAAATGTGGTGTTTTCTTGGGCGAGAAAACGCCCACAGTCATGCCATCCTCTTTGACTGCAACACCCATTTCGGCAAAAACAGCTTCACGTTGTAAACGAATTTCTTCGGTACGTTTAAGTTTCTCCTCCCAGGTTTCATTTAGTTCTGCAAATGATTATAATTTCAAATAAGAATACCAAAATTTAAATTGAATAAATTTTATATCCCCTAAATAATTTTTGAGCTTACCGGCAATCAATTTTTCACTGGCCTGCAATTGATCCACAGCCATTTCTGCTGTTGAACCATTACGATTACGATTGATGGGCGATTTAATGGTAGTAGTACCACCATTACCACCTCCGCCATTTTTAATTTCATCTTCTGTAAAAACAAATTTCAATTGAAATCGATATTTAACAAGAACGCCTCCGTTTTAGCGGAAGTGGGTATATTCCAATACTTGATAAGTTTTTGCAAGGCCATAAATATTATTTACAAAATAAAGCAATACTACGTAAATGAAAATTATAGAAATTGTATTAAAGATGCAAAGTGAAAATATATTACGGCGGCTTGAAGACGAACAGTGGTTTGGACGAAGACACACACACATAATGATGAGAGCTGGGCATGGTAAGGGATCTTAAACTATTTTGTTTTATTTAATAAACCTAACTTATAAAAGATGAATTGCTTAAATTAGTCCTTACTTAATGTCCTTAACTAAAATTGTACATAGTTAAACTTTTCCCTATAGTTTCCTCCCAAATGTTTTCGGATCGTATATATATATATAACTTCCAAATCCAAAATCTCAATTCCGGATCGTACTAGTCATACTTGTAGTTTTTTTTATCATCGGATTCTTGGGAAAACAATCTGAACGTGGTAAAGCCGGAGATGGAGTGGTCTCCTCCCGTTTATGTGAGTATGAGGAAGAATTGAAAACAATTGATCACATACTATGTAGATGTCCAGCGTCACGCAGCAAAAGACATTCTTCTCCAGAATACATCCCATTAGAATGCATAGCTTTGTCAAAAATCTATTATGATTAAGCTATAACACCCGAGTGAAAGCAGATGCTAAATTATTCGAGTAGTTATTTTAGTTGTCCTTGGCCCAATGGGCTCGGTCACTGCATCACATAACATTAATTATGATTTTTTAGAAGTACAGGTATTCTGACCCCCTTCAAATTAGTAGATGACGCCTTGGGATAGATTCTCTTATACGTAATAAATTGAATTGGCATTGAAAATAAATAAGTAACATTTTTTTTATACATATAAATTAAAGCTGTTTATAACATTTTAAAACATTACTTGAAACATTTTAATAATATATAGTTTCAAATTAATTTCAAAGTTCTATTAGTTGATGAAGATGAAAAGTTAAGTAATATCCAACATCTGCTGGATATAATGATGGATTTCAGAATATAGCTTTATAAGCACAGATATACATATAATTAATTAATTTATTCGAAATTCTGGAAATGAATATTTTAAAGGTATTGCAAATGATTTGCGCCATAAATAAAGCATAGATAAAAAGTTTGTTTTTTTCATAACACAATTTTTTTAAGAAGCGGTTTTACGACACAATTCACTTGAATACCTTCCAATACAAAACCTTATACATACATATATATAGTAATATACATATATTTTGGAATTCAAATATTAATTACGCAGCAGATAGTGTTATACCAAAGACAGACGACAGCCTTAATTTGCATTAAATAGTTCTTAATTTGAATTAATATTTACCCCTGACAGACGAGAGTTTCTGCATTTATGAACCAGTTTTTTTTTTGTTTCAAAACTATTGTTTGTCTGTGTGTAGGAAGAAAATATTGACATTTTTTACAATATTTTTTTGGATTAAATCTTTATGAAAACGATACACGAAAGACAGGACAAATAACAGCTATAATTATGATAAAACAGCGCCCAGCTCGAGGGAATGTTGTATTTTGCCTTTATTTCTAGTTTTTATTTTCATAAACATAAATAAATTTGACAATAATCAATTTATTTTCTACAGCATTGCCATATTGAAATTGCTTAATTCAGTATAAATTCAGTTTGATTTTGTGCATTTGCAACACATAAAAATGAGGATAATGTACAAGTTAATTTGAATTAAGGCTGTTAATCCAAATTAAGGCTGTCGTCTGTCTAGGCTATTAAGGTAAATACACACGCAGATTTAAATAAAATAAATCATATAAATTATTTAAAAATACAAAGTATATGAAAAAATAAATAATTTTTTTATTAAATAGCAAAGCATGTGATACAAAAAATTATTGGTACAACAATAATATTATAAAAATATCATTCATTTAAAAAAAATAAACTTAATAAGGATTAAAATTGTTTATTATTGTCGTAGTCGTATTTTGACAAGAGTCGAAACGTAGAACTTAAAATATTGCGGTACTATGACTGGGACGAGTTTGTAATAGTAATTTTACTTATAGTATACCACACACAAAATACCGACACGGTAATAGATTTGTATTTATATTTTATAAAAACGTATCAAAATCGACGCGACTACGACATCTGTGACAAGGTTGAAATTGATTCAATTTACCACTTTCTATTAATTTTTTTAATGGACTTGCAATTTTGTTTTTATTGTCATACCAAGAATATTTATTTGTTCTTTTTCTTATTGTATTATTAAGCGTATACGTATTTGATATATTTACTATATAAATATTCATTTTATTATGGGTTTGTTACGAAACTACTTACTATTTGTATCGCGTTTTTCACAAACCACTTTGCCATCAGGCCCTAAATATGAACACAATGGAATTATTACCAAAATCAAAAAATTTCAAAACACAGACACAAGGGGGAGGAAAGTTACAAAAAAAAGAATAGTACAAACAAATAATAAATAAAATAGGAATATGCATATAAATGGGGGTTAGTTAATTAACAATTGATTGTACATACAAAGTATCAAGCCAAAAGTGTGTTATGCTAGTAGATAGGGGGAGGGGATCAACATAAAAAGGGAATACGGATTTGCTAATGGAAAAAAATATGCATATAAAAAAATAGATCGTACTACTATTTTCATCGGTTCCGCTTAGAGCTAATCAATAAAGTAAGAAAAATCAATAGATAGTAAAATAGGTAGCAAAGATTGTTGTTGTTTTCTTTTTTAAAAGAATAAATTAAACATTTGCAAAATTTTTGGCCTGATACTGTATGTCTGATATAAATTGAAGGTAACAATTTTAGTTTACGTTTTTTTAAGATGCGGGTTGGGTGGTAGGTAAAATTAATTTTGTAACTCATTTTCAATGTCATATATGCCCAACCTTGACATTACGTAGTATATTTAAATGGTTTATCTATTTTTCTATTTATAGCGACAAATTGTAACCTTCAATGAAATCAACACACACCATGAGTATATGTTATAGTAATTAACATCAACATATTTATAGATAAAGAACTAAGATTATTATTTTTTGGGGGTTAATTTAAAATTCAATAAGTTAACAATTTGTTTTATAAAGTTATTTAAATTATTTCAATATGTGTATTTTGTCAAATGCATTTTAAATTATATATAAAGTGAGGGAAAAATAAAATGGTCGATATCCTTTTTACTAGTAAAAAACTTTTTTTATAAGGTTTTTCTTATAATTGGAAACCGGCGTTGTATTTTTTTTTAAATCTAACAGCATTTAAGGGAACCCCCCCCCCCCCATTCTCGATTTGAATTTTTTAAGATTTTCAATGGGCTGGTAAATCAATACCAATGCTTGTTAAGGTTTGTAACTTTGCACATATATAATTGAAGATTTAAAAAAGAAGAAAAATAATTTACAAAAAAATTTTGTTATTGTTTTGTTGTTGTTTTTTGTAATTAAAGAAAAGTCCTTATTTTTGATGGCGGGCATGACTGGAACATCGGAATCCGAAAAATCCAAGGGTGTTAGAAAGAGTACATGTCTGGCTCTCGTATGAACTAGGATTATTGACTTCGCTCTAAAATTAACAAAATGGTGGACCTTTGACAAAAATATTTTTGGAAAATCGCCGATTTTTTACCAAAACCCAAGTCAAAAAATATATATACTCCCAGAGAAACGATGCAAAATTTGGAACCGATTGGATTATTAGTTTTTGAGTTATCGTGCCCGCCATTCGCAAAAAAATGTTTAGAGAAAAACGCGTTTAAAGTTTGAGAAACCCTTTAGCCGTCACTTGATGCTGACACACTAAATCGGATATATCTTCAACAGTTCTTGAGATTTTCACTTGAAATTTTGTAGAGACATTCTTTAATCAGTGTAGATTCGAATTATATCAACAAAAATTTTGACCCCGAGAATGGGGGGGTCCCCTTAATAACTTCATTTAATATTTTGAATTATATGAATTCGGAAAACGTTGAAATTATATATGCATATTATATTTAAGTTTGTTCCGTTTTAAAGCAAATTGGACTAAAGTCATTCTAGACTTAATGCGGGAGTCTATGATAAATTTCTAGTTAATCGTACAACGTGAGGTCGTTGATGCATAATTTACATGAAATAGGACGAAAAAAGCCGACTAAAGCAAACATGACGCTAGAGGTTTTAGGCTCAATGCAGTACCCTATGCTCATTTATTTTCTATAGCACAAGCGTTAGCTCATTGGTGCACGATCGTAAGACCGCAGATGTATTATTGAATTGGTACGCCAACAACAATTTTCTTTTTTCACACGTGACAATGTTTCTGTTATTGTATGTAATCATAAAAATTTAAGGAAAATGTCTTTAAAAATATCATAGATACAAGTTCTACAAAATATCAAAATCCATCCATTGTCTGTTTTCCCATAACGTTTGTACTCCTATATTATTTGTACTTTTATATTCTCGATTAATGTCTGACCCAGACACTATTCGGAGCACTATGAAGACATTTGTTATTTTTATCATCGCCAAGTCTTATTCGCTAACTTATACCATGCATTTGACAAAAATACACATATTTTAGTTTTAGGATTTATCTTGTTTTTCTTACCGGATTTGAAAACATAACTAAATCTAACACAATAGTAAAACAAACATACATTCATACAACCTATATTTATACGTATTATTACCTTCTTGCACTTCAATACCCTCAGCTTTCAGGAGATCACGCAATTTTTGAATTTCTTCCTTAAGTTCACGAATAAGTTTGGCATTGGCATCTTCATTGACGACAGCTTTGCAGACAATAGCCTTAGCACGATCAGCATATCTACAAATAAATATATACACAAGATTAGCAATTACTCAAATACTTTATTATTTATTAAAAAAAAAACTTACCTCAATGTACTTAATGTCTCGTCATAATTAATATCGGCTGGTGATATGGCTGCTATCATTGCAGTTTTTGAATTACCACCCAAGTTTTCACGTAACAACCAGGTTAGAACCGAGTCACGATATGGTATGAAATCAGCTTTTTTAGATTTTTTATTTTTGGAAGCCTACATTTGGGATTTTTCGATAAAAAAATTTGAATGTTAAAAAGCTATGTTAGGATATTATTAGTCGGTAGAATCATGTGGGCTTATGACCATCATCATGAGTTCTATATTGAAAAGGAAAATAGAAAAACATGCACTAACAAGATAATTTTCGAAGTATTTTTTTCTATACGTATATACTTATTACAATAATTGTCATTATTTTGGTAAATGTGTAGCAATTATATAGTTCATGAGAACACACATAAATATGAGTTCCCATGAATACATAAAATTCGAAAATTATCCTTCAAAAATATTGAGAAAATCTGAAACTGTTTTATAACTACTATAAATCATAAATGTAATTAGATAAAATGTAAATGTCATTATGTTTTAAATAAGAAAAATGTTTATAAATTAAATTTAAATATAACACAAACATTAACATATTTAATATCATCTCCCAGTTTTGATGAAAAATATCAATTTTCTTAAATCGATATACAAATCTCAAGATATATTCTGTAAAGGAATAAAACTTTTTTACACAATGTACTTTGAGATCTGATATACTTGTTTAAATAGACTTTTCTCACAAACCGGGGAGAATCACATGGAACCATAAACGTTAACGGTATTTTTATTTTACAAAGTTTTATTTAAAACAGAAAATAATTATTCGTTATTTGCACGTTATATACTTACAGACTGGAAATATTCAAATTTCGCATAAAAGGGCGTTATGGATAACCAATTGTTTGTGGCAAATGGAATTTATGAATATTATTTTTTGTTATTTGAGGTGAGAGAAAAAGCAAAGTGGATTTTTTATAGTAATTTAGAAAATATTTGGACAACTCGTTTTATTATAAGTTTTAAATTATTGTAAAGGAAAACAAAAACAAAACAAAAATATTCCGAAACAAGATATCATGGTAAATGTGTTTGCGTGTGTGTAACAAATGTAGGTAGTTTGTGTTGGGTATGAAAATCTAATGGATAGATGGATGACTTAATTATATTATCGCAACTTACAATTTCTGCCAAAGCTGAAATAACTTTGCCCAATGTGGTTAAGGACTTGTTTATGTTGGCTCCCTCCTTGAGACGTGTACCCTTAGCACCTGTTGAATCGGCACGTTCCGAACCGGCTAAATCAACCAAACTTATTTTGGAAACTTTTTCTGTATTCAAATCTGTCATGGCATCATGACGCTGTTGTGTAAAGAAAATCGTAAAGACGGCATGAGAACGAGAACTTGTCTCATTCATGTTGGTGGCTGCCACGGTACGGGCCTTGTTGCCCTCATCGATGAGATCGTGAATATCTTGATAGCTGGTAACAGCTAATTTCGATAGATCTTCAACATAGGGACCCAATAGAGGATGTTCACGGACTCGCAAATTGCCTTTATTTTTGGGATTCAACAAATCACGGACACGTTCACAATAGATTTCCATGTAAGAGACCTCAACCTAAATGAAATCAAATTAATTAATAAAACGTATTTTTTAGCATTAGCTATGGTTTTCTTACCGAATATTTCAAATCATCTGATTCTGTTGCAGCTATTCGCCTAAATAAATCTTTACAAATCATGGGTATTATACCCTCCTGATGTTCCTCCTGTTTACCCATCATGGTATAGGATTTACCAGCACCAGTTTGCCCATAGGCAAATATGCACACATTGTAGCCATCAAAGGAATGTTGCAACATTTCCTCGCCAATGTCTTTGTAGACCATGGCCTGTGTAGAGAAACATGGATCCTTGGGCTAGAAATGGGAACACAAATATATTTTTATGTTATATTGTAATTGTTATTATCTTGTATAATAAACTAAACTTACATTGTGTGACCAATAGGAATAATCGAAGTTAAAACGTTTGACAGCATCAGCGGAATTGGGTGGAACTTTTGGATTTGTAATGGCTGCAAAGAGAAATAAATACGTATGTGGTGTGGTGATGATGTTAATATAATCCTGATGACCATATGAATTTATGTATTAGCATACCTGTGGTGGTATTATCGAACATTTCTATAATACATTTTGATTCTCGACTTATCTCCCGCGAGTTAAAGGGACGCACTCGAACCGCCACTTTAACCGACGACATCTTGGCGGTGAGAGGCCCAAAGGCGGCCTAGTTCAACGGTGAAATAAAAATAGGTTAACTAGATAATCTGAAATGAAATTAGAGAGAGAAAAGAGATTGTTATTTATTTGAGATTGAAAGAGAATAATATTATAATGGAAATAAATTGATTGTATAAAATATTGACAGTTGTCTCTATCTTTCTCGTTATGTTGGATGTAATTTGGCCGTTCGTTTTTAATGAATAAGAATGACATTGACATAACTCCAAGCTCCCATATAATCAGCAGGCCGCATTTATAATCCGAATGGTATTAAATATGGTTCGCCTCAGTTTTTGGCTCAAAGACGAAACCTATTAAAGTTGTTGTGAATCGGTTCAGATGTAGATATAGTTCCCATATGGATTTCAGGCAATTCCAAGATGAAACAACTAAGAATTGAATACAGTCCAAAACGACGTGTGCCAAGTTTGCTTTAAGGAGACCCCACCCATTCTCGATTTCAATTTTTTATGATTTTCAACCGGCTGACAAATGGGCATACATTATATTAAAGACTTGTCACTTAGAAGATTTAAAGAAGAAGAAGAAGAAGAAGAAGAAAATAAATCGACAAAATGTTGTTGTTGTTGCTGTCTTCTTGTTTTTGGTAATTAAGGAAAAATCGTTCTTTTCGACGGCGGGCATGATTGCCGATCACTGGAACATTAGAATCTCAAAATTACAACGCAATTAGAATGAGAACATATCTGGCTCTGATATGAACTAGGATTATTGACTTCGCGCCAAAATGAGCAAAATGACGGACATAGGAAATTATTTGTTTGGAAAATCGCTTATTTTCGACCAAAACCCAAGCTGGAAAATAAAGAAGATGTTGACTGATTACATTTAGTTCACACGATAGCTATGTAGGTCCAGAATAATGTGTGAACTTTTTGAACGAATTGGATTATTAGTCGTCGTGCCGCCGCAATAAGTAAAAACACTGTTTTGAGAAAAACGTGTTTAATGTTTGAGAACGAATCATGTCGTCGCGGGATGCTGACACAATAAATCGACTATATCTTCAAGAGTAGTTTAGATTTTCACTTAAAATATTAAAGAGACATTCTTAAGAACTCATATACAATATAAAGATTTGTCCGATTGCGTGCACTACGTTTGAGTAATTGAAATTTAGATATTCCTAGCTGCATAATGATGCACCAATGACATCATGCTTGTCCGACTGACACGAAATTTTGTAAAGATTTCTGAATTAAGTGTTATATGACGTAAGTAAAATTTTCTTTAAATCGGTCTAATTTTAAATATTTCTTCCATATAATTTCGTCCGGTTTCAAGTGACATGAAATTTTGCATATAGTTTTGCGAATAAGATATTGAATGGTGAAGTCATATTTAATTCAATATATACATAAATTGTAGATACCCAAAGTGGTGAAGGGTATCACTTAGTCGGTCCGTCCTTACTGGTTTTTGTACATATAATTTTATTCTTTACTAATTTTTTCTTTATATTCCTTGTGGGAGGTTGTGAATATAATGGATTCATGCATGTATTTTATAACAATATAATACAATTTTGTACATGTTTTCAATTTCAAGTTCCAATAATCATGCATATACATTCTTACATATGTATATTCATTTATTGAATTGGCAGCCATTCTTTGTGTTGGAATGCATCCAAATGCTTCAAATGGTTTTCTTTGTACAAAGAAATTCTGTTATCCTTTGTATTGCAGTATCTATCTATTGAATATTTTTATATGTCTATTCCCATTCAATATTCTAAAGATTTATACAAAGAAAAACTCTCGAGCATATTTCCTTTACATGGGGTTCTTTTATTTTCAAAAAAAAAAAAAAGGAAGACAATATCTTTGTGAAATACCTTCGACAATATTAAATCAGTTTCAGAAACAAACAGTTTTTATTTCTTCACTTCCACTTTGTCATCACCACAATATAAAAACCAATAAAGTTCACATAACAAAAAGAAAATAAAACAGAGAGAAAAAGAAAAACAGAATAAATCACCACTTGAGATTCCATTCGTGGTACCAACATATATTCCACACAACCCAACGGCCCAATGAAAGCGCACAAAATCTTACTTCCAGTGCGCACATAAAATCCACATGGAATGAAAAATATGTCTGTCCAACTAGCTGGCTAGCTGGATGACTGACAATGTCGTCTACATAACACACTTCCAGAGTTCGTTGTATGACTCATACAATGAGAAAAAGGACGACACAACGAAAGGATGGTTGGGGAAAAACGTAAAAGTTAAACTACGACGAACAAGAAGAAGAAGCAAATAAGGAATTTCTTTATTGTCTCAGAACTGTGGAGAAAAAACAACGTAGACATAATTCATGGTTGAAATATTTTCATATTTCTCATTTTTTTATTACCATTTCTGGTTGTGCACTATTTGTTGGGAGGGATTTTGAAAACAAAAAAAAAAAACAAAATATATGTATATATGGTAATATACATATACATAGACAATTGAATTATATTTCATAAAGTATACGGAATGATTAATTATATTTTGATTTATAGGGAGATCAAAACAAATGATTAATTACATTTTGATTTGTAGGGATATGAAACCGAAATAAAATCCATAATGTTTGTTAAGCTCAAATCAAGGTCTATATATTAGGATAGGGTATAAGGCCAGCAGATATCTAAATTTTTTGTCAAAATATATTGAATTAAAAAAAAACCATAATTAGCATTGACAAAGTCATAGATAACATTTTCAATTCGTTTAAAAATTTTTCAGATAACAAATTCTAAATTTTCAATTCGAAAAAAAAAAATTATTTATTTTAATAAAATTTATTTGTTGTGCGCGTTCAAAAAATAATTAAAATTTTTAAAAGATATTTTTGCCACAACAACAAATTTTAAATGATATTTGGGCCATGGCTCAAAAATAATTTTTCGAAAACAAAAAATGAACAAATACAATATTTTTACTCCAATATCAAGAAAAATCAATTTCGAATTTTGCTAATATTTAAATATCTTATTAATTTATTGACATTTAAATTTGTCAGTTATTAGCAATTAATTTACATAGCATTGAAGTACAATGAAAAAAAAAATCACCGAAATATTCCAATTATTATTAATTCGTTGTTAAATTACAATTTTATTGACGGCCAACAAACTCAAAAAAATGTGAAAGGTATTAGATATTGGGATATTCGTAATCACTTCTTTAGCAATGGGTGATTACTGCCAGATTACATTTCGAAACAAAAAACCTTATTCCGTACGGTTTGACATGCGACAATGTTTATTGTGAAAGAGACCCATTCTCGGCTTCAAAAAATTGTTGTTATTATTTTTTTTATATGAACCTATAACTTCTCAAGAATGTCCCGTTAAAATTCAAAGTGAAAATCTCAACAACTCTTGAAGATATAGCCGATTTATTGTGTTTTTCTCAAAAACCAGTGTTTTTACGGATGGCGGCCACCATAACTCTATATTGCTATTGTATGATAAATACAATCGGCAAAGATCTTTCCAATTTTCCAGATTGAGGTTTGCCCGAAAATAGGCGATTTTCCAATAGTAATTTTCCGAGGTCCGTCATTTTGCTAACTTTTGAGCGATGTCAATAATCCTAATTCATACCAGAGCCAGATATGTAGCCTTTCTAATTGGGTTGGAATTTTGAGATTCGGATGTTCCAGTGGTCGGCAATCATGCCTGCCGTCATAAAGAAAGATTTTTCATTAATTACAAAAAACAACAACAATATTTTATCGATTTATTTTCTTTTCATTTTAGGGTGACCGCCATTCGGTAAAACACTGTTTCGAGGAAAACGCGTTTAAAATTTGAGAGACACTATTGCACAATCGACTATATCTTAAAGAGTTGTGGAGATTTTCACTTGAACTTTTAAAGCGACTTTCCTGAATTAGTGTAGGTTTGAATTAAATAAAAAAAAAATAATTCAATTTTTAGAAACCGAGAATGGGTCGAGGATCTTAAATCTACAAACACCTTTGGAACGCGATTTTTAGTATAGCCATATGTTTCTTTTTCAGTTTATGGAGGAATCAGAGGAATAAGAAGGGATCCCGTCCGATGAATTATTAGAGATAAGTAAAACGACTTTCGACTAATTGACTTTTTGTATTGAAAAGTCAAAAAGTCTAATAATCGAATTTTTGGTCAGAGTTCAAAATCAATAAGTCTAAAAAACTGACCAAAACTCAAACACATCGATGTTTGAGTAGGGCATTCCACAATACTGTGGAATCAAACATAAGTAATCAAACATAAGTAACTCAAGCCCAGGTATGAGATATTTTTTCCGGGAGGTTCCAAACGGAGTAGCAGTAAGAGTTCATTTTCGAACTTAATCCATATTTGGGGAAAATATTATGATGTCCAAAGGAAGAATACTAAAAGGACTGGACCTATAGCATACATATTCGATTTTGTTCAACGTTTTGAAGGAATAGTCAAAGACATAGAAACCGTAAAGACTCGACAAAATGCATTTTGGCAAAATAGTTTATGAAAAAATATCCAGGGGGAATCAAGGTTAACAGAGGCATGTTAAGAATAAAAACGCCAATACGCGAAAATGTCTGAATAAAATGTAAATAAAATTAGAGGCCTGCACTCAAAATATGTATTTTCATTTTATAAGCTTAAGATATAGCATTAAAAACGTTTAATATTGTTCTCTCTGTTGTTATGATATCGTAACAACAGCGGAAAAGCCATCTGTTGGAAATTGCTTACGTATCAATTGTCCTATCTTTATACTTTTATGTCTTTGGAATAGTACGATGTGGGACCTTCAAGTTATATTGTGCACCTGCCAGACAGACGGACACTTCTAAATCTGTTCCAAATTGTCTGAAAAGGATTTGGTCGAAGGCAGTTTCTATCGAAACCCAATATTTCGATGAGACACATTTTGGTTGTATTAACTAATATATAACCTCAATGACGCAAAGACTGAATGTATAAAAATTATCTAGAGATTGGGAGTGTATGATACTTGGACGATA